GAACGGCACTTTGTTGAGCTCCACCACGGGCGAGCGGGGCTTGTTCTGCATGCGGGGCACCCTCTGCAGCAGCTGCTGCGCCTGGCGTTGCGCGTCCCGCAGCTCCTTCCGCCACTGCACCAGCTCGGGGTCGCTCTGCGGGGCAGGGAACTGTGTCAGGAGCGGGAACAGGGCAGGGCACACTCCCCAGAGTGCCAGGGCTGTGGGGTTTCCCCGTGTTTTCAGTATTGATGCACTGGCACGGCTTGAAGGACAAAACATACAGGCCAGTGGCCAGCAAGAGGGGATGGCTAGTAGGCAGCGGGAGGTGGCCAGCAGCCAGAGGTTGGGGGGGGGACACTCACATCGCACTGCAGCACGAACTGCTTGCCCCCTCGGATTCGGAGCAGGATGCACTTGCGCTCCTTCACCTGCGTCTCCTCCACCGAGTCGATCTCCTCCATGGTGAGCAGGGACTGCTGGGGGGACAGGCTCAGCCCGGTCCCCGTGCCCTCACCGGGGTCTCCCCAGGCAGCCCCCACCCCTCAGCCCCTGGTGCCGTGCCCTCCTTACCGGCGACTCGCCCTCCCCGCGCCACTCCAGGCGGTTGGGGAAGAGGTAGAAGTAGCGGCGCTGCCACTGCGTCAGGAAGGGGTTGCCCAGCTTGGCCATGTAGCCGTGCATGATGCAGTCCTTGCCCATGGCGTACTCTGGGATCACATGGAGGCAGGATAAGCACCTGGGATGTGGCCAGGGATGGTTCAGGGTGGGGCCCCCGGCCCCACTCACCCTCCTCGTGGCCCAGCTGCTTGTTCTTGGCCTTCTTGCGAGCCTCCAGCTTGTCCGTGTCGGTGTTGACAGTGTCGAAGACGGTCTCGGTGACCTCCTGCTGCCAGCGCTCCGAGATGGTGAGCGGGAAGTTGCGGTACAGCTCCTGGTCGCTCTCCAGCAGCTGGGCAGGGTGGGATACCGGGGTGAGGGGCTGCAGGACACCCCACGCCCCGACACTCAGCCCCTGTGCCCGGTACCTTGATGCCCTTGGTGTCCTCCTCATCAAAGGAGCCGATGTCAAAGGCGTCGGCCGCGTTCACCTCACCGCGGGGTGGGACGAGGGGCGGCGGGTACTGCGGGCAGCAATGGGATCAGAGGGGTGACTGCCCACATCTGTGTCCTTGTCCCTGTCCCCAGCCATGGGCACACAACCCTCACCTTCTGCAGGAACACCATCTGCCAGTCCAGGCCCTTGAAGAAGGGCTCTTCCTTCACCTCCTGCGCCCTGTGGAGGGAGGACGGTGGGTGAGCGTGGCTGCAGGGGAGCTGTGCCAGCACACCTTGCTCCATCCCTGGGGGCCTCGGGGACACTCACCCTCGCCCCATGCAGCCCAGGCGCCGGTTGACATCCCGCTGCAGCAGCCCCTCGAGCAGGGAGCGCAGCTCTGGGGAGAAGGAGTCTGGCAGCTCCACAGCCTGTGGGACATTCCATGAGCACACGTAAGTGGGGACAGTGACATGCAGTGACACACAGATGGGCACAAACATGTGCTCCAGGCAAAGACCAGCTGTCCCTGACCCCCTGTGTGCCCCCCAGACCAGTGAGTGCCATAGCAGGGATGCCCATGCCCTGCCCACAGTCCCCTCAGTGCCCCCACCCACCATGGTGAGGGTCATCCGGTCAATCTCGTGCTTGTCCTTCGTCTTGTGCTGCCGGAATGGGCTGTGCCTGTGGCATGGAGGGAGAGGGGGTTCAGCAGTGTCCAGCTGTGTCCAGCTGTGCCCAGCTGAGCCCACACTCACCCCCGGAGCAGCTTGAAGAGCATGCAGCCCAGCGAGAACCAGTCGGCGCTGCTGTCGTAGGCCACCC